CAATTTAATTTTTATTTTGAAATAGAGAATATATATATATCTATATATATGTTGTTATAATTACCGAAATTTCACTTATTTAAAAAATTTTTTTCACTATCTTTACTCCCAAGCTTATTTGCTGAAGTTGTTTCTTTATTTTCTCTTACAAACGGGACAAAAAGTTCTGGCGTTTTACTACTAAGTAAGAACATTTTGTTCTAGCTCTAAAATATATTCACTTAACAGTTTCTCTACTAATCTTGTAAAACTATTAAAGTTTTTAGAATCTTCGTGAAGAAAAATCGAAACTAGGTACGTAAAATAGCAACAACAACAAAGTAAAATAACAGACAGTTAACAATTAAATAAAAAAATAAAGAAACAAGTTTTAGTACGAAAACAACAGATCTTTTACTATGCAGTTCATTTTTTCAATACAAATATTATATGAACATTTCTTTAGCTCTGATACAGAATTTCTCTTCTTGTTACTCAACCAATGAATATGTTTCTATTTAATTCTTTTTGAGGCCAGACGGAATGACGTAAATCACAGAGATATCCTGGTTCATTATAGACGTAGCCGAAAACTCATCATAGTTTGGGCGTTACCTTGGTGATGAAATACTTTGTTAAACCTACAGTTTCGTGAAAACTAAGAACACTTTCTCGATAAACACGGTTTAAAGCACTATAAAAATCATCAGAGATCACTTTACACCAGACAAGACCAGTTACACCTTACAGTATAAACATGAAACCATCAACACTCTAAGCAAGCCCAGGTAACCCTAAAAACATTTCAAGAACCCTTTCAGTAGTTCAGCATTTCAACTACGTTGAATCTTCCATCAACACAAGGACCCTTCCAGTAGTCCAACATTTCAATGACGTTAAGTCTTTCATCAACACAAGGACCCTTCCAGTAGTCCAAAATTTCAATGACGTTAAGTCTTTCATCAACACAAGGACCCTTCCAGTAGTCCAAAATTTCAATGACGTTAAGTCTTTCATCAACACAAGGACCCTTACAGTAGTCCAAAATTTCATTGACGTTAAGTCTTTCATCAACACAAGGACTCTTTCAATAGTCCAACATTTCAACGACGTTAAGTCTTCCATCAACACAAGGACCCTTTCAGTAGTCCAACATTTCAACGACGTTAAGTCTTCCATCAACACAAGGACCCTTTCAGTAGTCCAACATTTCAATGACGTTAAGTCTTCCATCAACACAAGGACTCCTCTGGTAGTCCAACATTTCAACGACGTTAAGTCTTCCATCAACACAAGGACCCCTCTAATAGTCCAACATTTCAATGATGTTGAGTCTTCCATCAACACAAGGACCCCTCTAATAGTCCAACATTTCAATGATGTTGAGTCTTCCATCAACACAAGGAACCTTCCAGTAGTCAAACATTTCATCTAGCTTGACATTCTATCAATGGCATTGTTCTCTTAAGTATCGAAACTTGGTTTAGAACTAAAGCAGATAGATATATGGATGAAGACAATGGATTCTCACATTGAAGATTATTTATCACTATTAGTCTATGAGGCAGTCCAGATGTGGGTACCACCCAGGGGGGGGGGAGCTAAACTTTATTGGTGCCAAATTATTTGTACTATACCTAGAAGTAAGAAAATATGTGATAACTTTTCAAATCAGTAGCTTTATCTTTTTTCTGGGTTATCACCCATTTTCACATTAACCCCATAAAGCCCACTACATTTTACATTGCTAACTTTTTAGTTGTAAGCCAATTGCCATAAATTTTGGTAACTTTGTTGCAAATTTCATTCTAACATTTTGATACTATATTTTGGTTCATATCGTTACCCAGGTTGCCATGACAACCCAAAATCTTAATCAATTTTTGCTCCATGTTTGTGCAAATTTTGCTGATTTTCATGTTTTTTTTTCAAGAAAATATTACTCAAAACAATACAGATATCCTTTTGTCTGTTTTAAAAGAGTTAGCAACTGCACCAGTCACATTTTAGTGAAATTTGGATACTCTTTAAGTAATTTGAAATGTTCATGAAAATTGCCTTAAAAGCTGCGTTTTTGACGTATACCGAGAAACGTCGATCAAAAATGCTGAGAGATGCAATAGGAGATCAGGCACATATCTTCAGTTCAAGGACATTGCAGGAGGCCACGAAGTCCAGCAATGGAGGAAGTTCCTGTGCAGCTCTTCTAACAAGACAAACCTCATCAAATTCTTGGTCGAAGAATGGAAATATTTCGAAGTTCAGAGAAAAGCTATAAGATAATACACTGTATGTAGCCTGTGAAGATGTCTGCTACAAGATGACCGGATGGCAGTTGCCGAATTAAGATCTATTCAAGAAGAAGCCGATACCCGTTTGCTCCTACACACTCTTCACGCTGCAAAGACTGGGTCAAAGGCGGTCATAGTAACAGCAAAAGACACAGATGTCGTGGTGCTTTGCCTTGGCTTTAATGGAGACATCCCCTGCTCTATATATCAGAAATGTGGAACACAGAATTGAATAAGGTTCATTGACATTGGCAAAGTGGCAAGTTCACTGGGAAACAGCATCTGCACAGCTCTAATTAGACTATATGCCTTTAATGGGTGTGACACAGTCAGTGCCTTCACAGGTCGTGGGAAGGTTGGGGCTCTGAAACTTGTGAAAAAAAGAGATCACCTATCGGGACCGAAGTTCCTCTTCAGCTAACTTGGTCTATCCTGGATAGTGCCCGCAGAGTTGTTTGAGAAGACAGAACAATTTACCTGCCACCTCTATTCAACAATGACCAGCACTCGTGACGTGAAGGAACTGAGGTACCAACTATTCTGTGCCAAACGAGGAGAGATTGGGTCAAGTCTCCTTCCACCATGCAGAGACTGCCTCTACATGGATGCACTCTTTGCGAACTATCAATCAGCAATCTGGAAGTGCTGTCTTTAGAGTCACACTGATGTGCCAAACCCTAAAGGATTTGGATGAACTACAGATGATAATGCCCTTCTAGTCATTGAGTGGATGTGCACACCGCCAGCTCCAGATGCAGTCTTGGAACTGTCACCCTGCAAGTGTCTGCGTTCCTGCCAGCTGCTCTTGCCTTGCCAATGGATTAACACAGATATGTGTAAGCTACAGACATGCAACAACCAGAAGAAGGAAGAAGAGGTGCTTGTTGAACTTGGCAACTCAGACGACGATGAAGATGATGATTAGTCGAGTGCGCTGAAGACATGAGTGTCCCATGTTTTGGCAGTATGTACGCTAAATGACTGCTACTCTCTGGTTTATGTTGTTATGTATATAAGCTCTGAACACTTAAAAACAGACTCATGTTCTTGAACTTGAGTGCTGAAAACATTGTATCCTTAGATTATCTGTTGGACACGATTGTCACATTATGATTGCATATGATTTCTGCTTTTTGTTCCTGGCCAGTGTTCCATTACTGTTATATTCCTTCATTTAATACTGTTCCATAGATAATGTAAAATTGTGTTATAATGGAAATAACATTATAAATGATGAAGATGACGATGGGTACAGTGTACTGAAGCTATGTGTATCACATGTTTAGGCTATCTGTATGCCAAATAACTGCTACTGTCTGGGTTATGTTGCCTAGTATAAGCTTTGAACACTTAGGAACTGACATTTTCTTGAACTCGAGTGTTGAAAACACTTTATTCTCAAATTCTCTGTTGGACACAATTGTCACATTATGGTTGCATATGATTTCTGCTGCATATTTATGGTCTCCCATTACTTTCATATACCTACATTTAATCTGTCATGTATATTATGAATATCATTTTAATTACTTTAGTCATATAAAGTCAAGAAATCAAATTATCAACAGTTCCTAGTTCTTTCGCGCACATGACAACCTTTAAAGGTATTTACCAACATTGTTTTAATATTCCTACTGATCTTCTCGGGGTGTTCAATAATGCATCAATTCATTAAAAAATGCCTCGATTAAATCTACCAAAATATTAACTAAAAAAGAAGATAATTTACCTAATAAAAATACTGAAAACATAAACCAGTTTTAGGAAGTGGTTGTAATACAACACAAATACAAGTATGTGGGACTAATTCTCATTTCAACAAAGTGGTCCCCGGTACCAGTTTAGTTTTTATACACAGATATCTTCATAATCAGAGAGGATATGCAAATGAGAGCCAACAAAAATCTCTCCTTTATTATAATGTTTATGTTTTGGTACATTAAACCAAAGAAATTTATATATTTTTATTACACTTCAGGCCTGACAATGTTAACATATACCTTTAATATTTCTGATATTTTCTGTAAAATATCCCATATCTGGAGGAGTTTCACTATTACATAGCTTCTGTACTGTTCCACAGACATTGTAAGATTGTGCATTAATGAAAAGAACATTATAAACAGATTATTTCAGGACTTTCTCTTGCCTTTATTCACGTACTGTGTAAACTATACAACAGGAGATGGCAGCAAAATGTCGCCCAGGGGTGGGTACATTAAACAGCTTATTATCACCAACCACAAAGTTACCTCTCTGCAATGGTTATCATACCAAAATATATACTATAGACATAGACTAACTCAAAAATTATAGTCAGAATTTGTCCTCCAAGATGGTACCAACTATACGAAATTTGGGGTTCTGGCCCATGGACTATATGGCTTAGTTCTGGAATTAGTGATCTTTAATAACATTTTCTTTACCTTTATAAACAAGTTACATCACACATCTTCTATTTTATTTGTACCTGAGATATTTATTTCGATTATTCAAATTTTAGCCCTTAATTAATTTTATCTACTAACACTACTCAGATCTCCCTTTTATTTTACGTATTTTGAAGTCAATTGCAGCTCCCCGTAAGTTAGGTTGATTCAATATTGCATAACCGGTTTCACTTCATTTATCGGAAGTGTACAGTGAACGAAAATTGTAACGCTATGAAGTGTCTTATTTTGGTTTGTTTGTATTGGAACCCAACTAATTAACAAGTAATGGTCACTTAGAGTGTTTTCATTTTTTAAAAGTGTAGTATAGAAATATAAGCATACCATTCTTATAATTATTTTCTCGTTCTTAATGTAGTTCCGTCCGAAAGAGAAGTAATTAACAAAGAACGGGCGTCTGGAACTTACCGACTCTCTGCTTATTACTTAGCTAAAATGGTAGGTGAGTTACCTCTCACAGTCACCCTTCCTTCAGTGTTCCATTGCATCTCGTACTCTATGTTAGGGCTTCACGACCCTCGGATCTTCCTGAGTCTATGGGGTTTTCTTCTTCTCAACACAGTAGTTGCTCAGGTAAGAACTCAGAGAATTGTACTTGATAAATGTGAGAATAGAAAGGTCGTTTACATTTTAGAGATCTATTAATTTACACTATTTTGCTATTAACTTGCAGAACGTGATATATAACTGATTAGAGTGGGATTTAGAAAAAACTGGATACTTCAATACTGAAATACATTTATTTCCTTACTTGTATATAATAATAACTTATGTTATCTAACATTTTGAATGGAAAATTTGAATAATTTACGTTCTTTAAATAATACAGAGCATAAAAATTTTATGAACTTTTTCAAAGCAAATTCACAGGGCTGTATTGAGTTAAAAAAAGGCAACTGAATTGGAGGACTAATACTAGACCTGTGTGATAAATAAGTCTGAACTCTGCGATAATACTAGACCCGTGTGATAAATAAGTCTGAACTCTGCGATAATACTAGACCCGTGTGATAAATAAGCCTGAACTCAGCGACCACTTGTTGAAATCAAACTTTGAAGACTCACTACATAGACAGTTGTCTTTGTTATTGTTGTTATTTGCGAATAAAATTTGAGTCTATATGAATCATTTCGGTGCGTATGATTTGTAAACAGAAGTTTCGCTTAATCTGTTTTAAATCCCTTTAATTCATAGGCGGCCGCAAGGGAGGGCACTTGCCTCTCCCCTGAAATATCAGTTTTACTTTTCCCTAGTTATATCTTTGATATCTTGCCTCCTCTGTAATATAATTTGCGGACGCCCATGCTATAATTTGTTTAACTGGAGAAAAAAATAGGCTGCTAAACGTCGACAGAGTTTATAAATTGGCCTCACCATACCTTCACAGAATAATCCGTATCTTAACATTTTATATAATTGTTTAGGCACTGTGAACTGTATGAATTACTTGATACGCTATTTCCTTTTCCTTCTAGAGTGTGGGACTCCTTGTGGGAGCGTTGTGTGTTGATCTACAAGTGTCTGTGACAGTCTCCGCTTTGTATTCTTTATCTACCATGTTGTTTGGTGGTTTCTATGCCAAGGCCATCCCTTCTTGGTTGCTGTGGTTGAGGTATCTCTCTATGGTTCATTACGCATTCAACAATATGCAGATGATTGAATTTGGCGGTGACTTGTCAATACGGTAGGCATTGTTAGTATTACTATAACGTTATTAATATGTATACTTTTTAACTTGTATGAGAATTTAAATGTAAGATGCTAAGCTATGTGTTTTCTAAAAAACCATGAATTATCAAACTTGTGCTCCAGTTCTTCCAGATAAACAAAACAAAAAAACTTCTTTTTAAATTTCAAACTTTAAACAGACAGTATTTCAACTAACGGCAAGTGCGAAACAAAATAAGACAACAGACATTTTCCAGTGTTCTTATTTTCTTAAGTTTGATCTAAGATATTATTTTACAATTAGAATCTAAAGGCGATACTTATTATTTTTTCTTCTATTTACACGCCAAGTAGAACAACTAAATTGTTTATATGTGTATATATGTATGTACGTGTGTAAAACTCTATTAACGACATGCACATGTAAATTTTAAGTTTGTTTTTGTCTTCTTTTAGTTTTATTATATTTTTTTGTCTATTTTTTTCGTGATTTTGTATCTTTTTCACCAGGGGGTTAAGTGAACGAAACCAATAAATAACCTGTAAATTTCCAACGACTCTTGATAGATCTAGTGCTATATTACTTACTTATGCTCAAACAAAGCTGTACACATACACAGATATATGTGTATGTATATGTTCTAAGATCACATACAAACTTATTTCACCATCGAGTACTTTTCGAGAAACACCATTCCAAAGCACTTAGGTCATGGGTTTATGAAAAGGTTTTTTTCTTTCTTTTTTATACTTGATAATAAAGTACCACATTTTCAATTGATCTCTGGAATAGAGAAGTGGATTAAGCGCTGATACAGGGGTAGGATAAATAAACGGAATAATATTTTCATTTAAACGTTTACTAGAAACATCGTCCAAAAAAATTTTACTCAGGTGATATTACTTCGTATATTTATTCTTGAATTTTTAATTATATTCGCTTAATTTTTAGCCGCGGTTCATAAAATTGCTCTGAGTGTTTTTTTTTATCAAGTACAAACTTTTAGCTCATTGCTCCGTCATCTCTTGACCAATTTGAGATCTTATTACGGTTTTGGACTCAGGAGGTCAAATCATTTCGTGTGATGTATTTGACCACGCCTAAGAGGTCTCATAGATTAATTTACTCTAATCCTGCCTAGAAGAATTTCAATTTGAGGGTAGGCTGTCAGAGATCCTGATGAATAATAAACTCGAATCGAGTATATGCGCGTCCCACGCTTATGCTGGCGCACAAAAATATAGCTACTAAAAGGGTGTGTGTGAAAAGTCTCGCAGGATTAATTTACTCTAATCCTGCCTAAAAGAATTTCAAGTGCTGCGGTTATTGAGAATTCCCTCTTGTTTTGAAAGTTATGGTCAACAAGAAGGTAGACATTTAGTTCATGTGATAAGGATTAGATTAGTTCAATCCCTAAGACAGCTTTGGGTTATGTTGGGGTTAAAAAGTATCGCAAATTGTTAGTCTTTTGTATATTGATAAATTAAGGATTGATTTTCAATAAAAAATATGCGTGCCTTAAAGTCAAACAACTCTATAAGACTTTGCCACTAAATGCGAAACTGTTAATATTAAGAATTAACTAAAATTTTAATTATTTTCTATTTTTATAGATGTGCTTCGCATAATTCCCAGTTTGAGGCTTGCCGCCATGGAAACAGTTCAGTCATTCCCGTTGAAGATATCATCGAACACCAAGGAATCAGTCTCCCTCTATGGGCAAATACCATGATCTTGTTAATATTTCTATGTGTATTTCGCCTTATGGGATACCTTATATTAAGATACATCCGTAAGCCTAGATAAATTAGAAGTCAAAGAATTTGGAGCTGAATGATGGCTACTTGAATAGTTCGAAACTAGTTTTCAATATAGCATCGAAATTACTGAAAAAATAAGTAAAAACAAAACTTTGCTCCAACTGAAAATTTGCACGAACTCATAAGTGTGTTTCCAGTAAATTATCTGAGTGGATAATTATGCATAATCTAAATAATTCAAGCGTTATTCTTCGTAATAATATTATCAGATATTTAATTTGACAAGTGGTGATTCTTTCTAGTGTGCCAAAGAAAGGGAGTTGTTAGGTGTTAACAAGCTCCTTAGCTTAGAAAGATGGAAATGGCGGATATTTTAAAAATCTTCTACGATTACCCACTTTACTATTGTTAGTTTTCTTTGTCATGGTAAATAGATTTAAATCGAGCTCTACATTTAGCTGAAAAGTTCCAGGTATTTTGTTGGATGTTACTTTATACTTGTTGGTAGAATAGATAGCGAAAAGACACGGCAATTGTCAATCGCCGCGATGTGATTTTTTCAAATAATTCCCTTAACAAATTTGTTTTAGTATTAAGAAACAAATACTTCACTAACTGTCCCCCAGTAGTACGGCAGTATGTCTGCAGACTTACTAACGCTACAAACCGGGTTTTGATACACGTGGTGGGCAGAGCACAGATAGCCCATTTCGCTTAACGACAAACAAACAAGTCAAACAATTTGTAAACAACAGTTATTTATTAAGAATTATGTTGTGCAATGAGCTGGACCGCTTAACTACAAACAAACTTCACTAATTTCAACAGCTTCGAGCCAGATACGAAGTAGTATATATATTTTTTTGTTAATGAATATTTTATAATTTTTAGCCGCAGCATAGCGACTTATAAAACGCTCCGAGTTGTTGTTGTTTTTTCAAGTACAAACTTTTAGCTTATAACTTCGCCATCTCTTGACCGATTTGAGATCTAATTATAGTTTTGGGCTCAGGAGGTCAAACCCTTTCGATTGATTTATTTGAACACGCCCAAGGTCTCATAGATTAATTTAAATTAAATCCTGCCTAAAAGAATTTCAATTAGAGGGTAGGCTGGTAGAGATCCTGATGAGTAATAAAATCTACTCGGGTATACGCGCGCCCCACGTTTGGTATTGCTGGCGCACAAAAATATACCTAATAAAAAGGAAAAAGAAGTCTCATAGATTAATTTACTCTAATCCAGCCTAAAAGACTTTCAAGTGCCGCAGCTATTGAGAAAATTTCCCTCTTGTTTATTCAATGCCTATGTCATGACAATAACGTTCACAGTAGTCTAGCTGTTGACGTCAGCTTTCACTATATAGTGTTTGTTTGTTTATAATTAAGCACAAAGCTACACGATGGGCTATCTGTGCTCTACCCACCACGGGTATCGAAACCCGGATTTTAGCGTTGTAAATCCGCAGACATACCGCTGTGACACTGAGGGGCTTCACTATATAATGATTAAATTGGTTAGTTCGGAAAACAACTCGATATTTTACTCTTTATTGGAGCATGATTTTAAAATGACTTTATTTTAGCTTGCAGATCTAACCATAGCTATTCAATTACAATTGTTTTTTTTAGGTGAACGTAGATATAAACATAAAATGATTTAAGGTGTATTTGTAAAATGACTCAATTCGTCTTTTGAAAACCAGCTCATGTCATCGAAATCTCCATGGAAGAGAGAACAAATAAACTTTTTTTTATATAAAGTTAGGTAATGATTCACAGACAAAAATCAGAAATCAATACCATTAAAATTGGTTTAAATAAAAAAGTAGATAATTAATAAAACTATATTTAAGAATATTGGAATAAGTGAGTTGTGAAGGGTATATTCCATCTGTTGATTGTGATGTCATGCATTATTTAAGTGTAGAATGAATGTTTATGATGCTTTAGAAACACTTCTATATGGATGGAGCAAAAACGTTGTTGTACAATGGTGAGAATTTTGATATTAAGTCCTGTCTTGCAGATGCAAGAAAAATATAACGAATCCTTCTTCGGAAAACCCTCCAGTGATAATAAGATGAATGAATGAATTCACCTTAATACTTCATTAAATAAGAAAGCGGAATGAGTGAATGAATACACTACTGTGATATTTTCATTAACATAAGACTGTTTAATTTCGGTAGTTTCATCATTGAAAGTGAAATTAATTCATAAGTTTACTTTGGGGAATTTATCTATTTATAGTAAAACTCAATGGATTCAACCGAGTAATAATTATATGAAGAAAATATTTCGTAAAAATACACGACGTTGAATTTGCTTTATTTAAGGACCAAATGGCAGCATGGCTAGAAATATATCAATTTAGGATAAAAATGGATGACAAAATTAATATAAGTAATTCCTCCATTAAGAGAAAAATGACCATTGAATTAAACTAATTGATCCTCTATGGAAGGTAAAACGGATGAGTGGATTCAACCCGGTAATAATTGTATAGAGAAAATATTCCTTAAGGCTTCACAACTTTTGTTTTATTTTATTTAAGAGGTAAATGGCAGAATGGTTAGAAATGTATCCATTTAGGATAAAAATGGATAACAGAATTAATATAAGTAATCCCTCCATTAACAAAAAATGATCAATTAATTTAAATAGTTGATCTTCTATGGAAAGTAAAACAGATGAGTGAATGAATCTCTGTTACTCCTCTGTTGAAAATAAAATTCCCGAGTGAATTAATCTCTGCTATTCCTGTATGGAAACTAAAATGGACGTGTAAACGAATCTTTGCTGTTCATCCATGGAAAGTACATAAAACTGACAAGAGTACTTCCTCTATTGATATCTTCGCTACGATAAAAATAGATAAATCTTTATAATTCACTCAGTAAGAACTAGAAAGAATTTTAATAAATGTAATGGGATATTGAGCACTTGCATTTATAGTCTGATTAATTAGCATTTGAAAAGCGCTAGCACATGATGTATAAATACTCTAGCTCGAGTACCTGAAGTGTGAAGACCTTAGTCCCATTCTTATTCTTAAATCGTAAAGGATACAAAACAAAAAGTAAGTGTTAAAAACTTTATGATGTGTGTGTGTGTGTGTGTAATTGTAACATAAACCACGTTTATTTTTATTTTTTAAGTAACTTTAGGTTAGCATGTAGTTTACTTTTACACATACTTGTTTCAAGAAACCCTTAACGCAATATAAATACATGTATACGAGGAACGCAGTGGACACAATCTGTACAGTACCCACAAAGTTCACAAAATTCAAATGGAACGTCATTCTAGTTTAGGAAATTGCAGTGCCCAAATTATGGGACATAATGTTCTCAATAACACATTGCTATAGTCTTATGCTTTGTTAATAACATATTGCTATAGTCTTTGTTAATAACACATTGCTATAGTCTTATGCTTTGTTAATAACATATTGCTATAGTCTTATGCTTTGTTAATAACATATTGCTATAGTCTTATGCTTTGTTAATAACATATTGCTATAGTCTTATGCTTTGTTAATAACATATTGCTATAGTCTTATGCTTTGTTAATAACATACTGCTATAGTCTTATGTATTGTTAATAACACACTGCTATAGTCTTATGGTTTGTTAATAACATATTGCTATAGTCTTATGCTTTGTTAATAACATATTGCTATAGTCTTATGCTTTGTTAATAACATATTGCTATAGTCTTATGCTTTGTTAATAACATACTGCTATAGTCTTATGCTTTGTTAATAACACACTGCTATAGTCTTATGCTTTGTTAATAACATATTGCTATAGTTATTGCTATATGCTTTGTTAATAACACATTGCTATAGTCTTATGCTTTGTTAATAACATACTGCTATAGTCTTATGCTTTGTTAGTGTACATATTATCATATTTTACTGACATGTCGATGGCTGTTATCGTCATTTCATTGTTTTAGATTTTAAGTCCAATATTGTTTCTGTGGATAACAGCAATTATTTTAATATTTTTTTCAAATATGTTTTGGTTATATACTTTCAGCGATTTCAGTAGTGATTATCAAACCTAGAATTATTGATGAAGAATAATGTTGAGTTTTCACTTTTATATCAAATTAAAAAAATGATTCTCTAGCCCAGTTTGATATTTAAGATGGTGCATCGGTAACTGTTCAGATAACTTTTAACTTATATAACTCCTAACAGCGTTTTCTTAACCGTTTGTAACAAGGCTCTGCTGTCCATTTCTAGCAGTGCTATGTCATTCTTCCAACAACACTATTTTATTGTTTTATTTATAACTGTTTTGTTCTCTCATTTCAACGGCATTTTGGTATCCAATTCCAATATCATATTTTACGTTTCTTATCAGTGCTTTCTAATAGTATTCTCTCTTTTCAACACAATTCTTTCACTCATACTTTTTAACAATATTTTATAGTTCTTTTAACAATACTTGTAGTTCTAAGAGTGCTTTATCCACAAAACGTATGAGACTAGGTACGTCTGCATTATCCTAATTTCTTTGAATACTTTTATTATTTTAGGTACTTAGATTGTGATTTATAGGAATGCGTTTCATTAACTTTTTTTTGTCTTTCACCGGGAGTTGTTCTGCATAGAATGTAACAAATAATTCGAGTTTCCCCCTCTCTAACTGTTTTATTGAAGTTGTGTGACTGTAGTTATCAGATTTTGAACTTGACCTACGCTTACTGGCTGGAAGATAATTGTAGTTTTCTGTAATGTGTTATTACCCTGAGTTCAACAATATGCAAGTAGAAACAGAGCCACTAAAACGTCTGCAGATAGGAGTTAGCCTCTTATACTGTTAGTGGATAGCTTTGTTTAGCTGCTGTTAGTGTCTGTATAGCATAGTAAAAGGTTATCACTTGTGTATCCTTCTGGTTTCTTAATTTTACTGCGCTCTTCAGCATTTGTATGACAAAGGCTGTTTGGAGAGTTTTTATTTTCAAAAACCTATATTTTTAGTACTCTAATTAATATTTCTATTTTTTTGTCTTCGTTACAATGATCTTGGATCAAAGGAATTAGTATGAACGTAATTAATAATTTATAACCAATCAAGAAATAAACACTATGCATAACTACTGCCATAAGTGGTTAGATCAAACTTCAGATCACCCAAAAATCGCCCTTTCTCCAATTGATCGGTAGACAACAGGGTCATAACGTATTGACTCAAAGCGTTGTGGAGTTTGGCAACGCATTGGAGCAATGAGTTATGGCCTTGCATATCGCTAGCCAACAATATGATACTCTACTGATTGAATTCAACTTGTAGTTCATATTGAGTCACTACGTTATGACTTTTATATACCGGTCTACAGTCTTAACGAATAGATTCAATGCATTATCTGAATTTTGAATTGCATCATGCAACTGAAAACAATGATATGATTGGTTTGTTTGGTATTCGCTATGGCCCTGATGGCTAGCCATAAACGTTGAACGTAGCGTTTTTCGCCTGTTCTCGCAAGCATTCGACAACCCTCTTAGTGTTTATTGCAACCTTTTACTGACTGTTAATGAAGCATATTAAAGAAATGCCTCATCTCTCTCTAGAGATTACAAGATCCCAAGGAGTAACTTCTCA